AAATAATATATTAAATTAAATTAAATTAATTTTTTCTTCCTCTTAACATTTCCCTATATATACTCCACAAATATTTTTCTTCTTTCCCTCTTAACACCAAAAAATAAAAAATAAAAAATGGTGAAAATAGTAGCACTTTTCTTCTTGTTCACATGCTGCCTCCTAATTTCCCTAGCCTCTGCACAACTGAAAGTAGGGTTTTACGCCTCGATTTGTCCACGGGCCGAGTCGATTATCCGAGGAGTCGTGCAGCAACGGTTCAACCGAGACCGGTCGATAACGGCAGCTTTGCTTAGGATGCATTTTCACGATTGCTTCGTTCGGGTAACTAAATTGATTGCGTACTCGTTTTCCGTTTTCCATTTTCAACCGAGACCGGATGATAACGGCAGCTTTGCTTAGGATGCATTTTCACGATTGCTTCGTGCCTCCTAATTGCTTAGCAACTCTTTTAGATCTAACCATTGAAAAAAAAAAAGAAAAAACGGGAAATTCCAATAGAAAGTTCCAACGAAAATATGTGGTAATGAAATTATAACGACAACTCTAATGCTAAATAAAACCTTCAACGAATAGCTATAGAAATATAAACAAAAAAATATTATGTTGGAACTAGTTTTTGTCATTAGGATTTTTGTTGGATTTTGACAATTTCAAATCTCCAACCGTTGAAATATGGTCGGAAAAAATTTCAATGAAAATGCATATTCCAGCATAAATACTTATCAACAATGAACTGTTAGAAAATTATCGTTTGTAATTATTGATTCCAACTAAAATTCCAAGGTAATTTCAATTTCCTATAATACGATCTGATCCGTCATATTTCCTTTAATCGAAATGCTTGATCTAGTCTATAACATGTCACATACGAGTACCATTTTTAACAATACACGACATTTTAGTATATATAAAAAAGGATGTCTAACCGTTAGATCTATCTAACAGGGTTGCGACGCGTCAATCCTGATCGACTCCACCGCATCCTTGCCATCGGAAAAGGACGCGGGCCCCAATGAGACAGTCCGAGGCTACGACCTAATCGACTCCGCCAAGAAAGCCCTCGAGACCACGTGCCCTTCAACCGTCTCGTGCGCCGACATCATCACCCTTGCCACTCGGGACGCCGTCGCCCTCGCCGGCGGGCCCAAATACAACGTCCCCACGGGCCGTCGAGACGGGCTTGTCTCCGACCCGAATGGGGCCGCCAACCTCCCAGGCCCGTCTGACCTTATTCGAACCGTGCTCGGGCTCTTCCGGGCCAAGGGCCTCACCGCCAAAGATACGGTGGCCCTCCTCGGGGCCCACACCGTCGGGGTGGCCCACTGCACATTTTTCCAAGATCGGCTCACGGGCTTTGGGCCATCCGGTATTGGGCCCGACACGAACATGGATCCTGGCCTTGCGGCCCGCCTACGGAGGGTATGTGGAACGGATATCCGGCCGTTGGATCGGGACCCGACGGCGTTCCTCGATCAAGGGACGCCGTTCGGTTTCGACAATCAATTTTACAATCAGACGGTGTTTCGGAGGGGGGTTTTGGAGATCGATCGGGCGCTGGCGGCCGACCGGACGACCCGGCCGATCGTGTCGGATTTCGCGAAGAACGGCGTTGTTTGCGGGCAGAGTTTTGCGAGCGCCATGGTTAAGATGAGCAAGATTGAAGTTCTCGTGGGGAAGGCGGGCGAGATAAGGAGAAATTGCCGGGTTTTTAATCCAAAACCATCTCGATCTCGTCGTGGAGTTTGATTATCCGAGGGTGTTATAAACTAATTATTTGATTGTATTTTTTATTCTGATATTAGTGAGGGATTACTAATATACATAATTTTTTTTTTTTCCAATATTTGCTTGTGTTTGTTTTGTGTAGTTAACTTATGGGGAATGTTATGATCCCGTCATAATACCATACCATCGAATGTTTAAAAAATAATACAAGATAGATAATCTAACGGTTAAATCACCCGACGAGATAATATCGTAACAGGACCATATCATATCCCTAACCTATGTTAGCATTATATAATGGGCTTTAACAATTTGATCAAAACCAACGTATAGCAATATTCGATCCAGTGGCAAATAATAAGTTGGAAACACGTCGCTTATATTATTATTATTATTATTTTCTGAGATTGGATGTGGAAAATGTAGTTGAAATCACGTCGAATTTTTTGAGAATTTATACGTGTTATAAGTTATAATAGCAATTACTATAATACATGACGTGGTTGGAATATGGTGAAATTTAAATAGTAATTGTTTATTAAAGTTGAAATTTATCAAAAAAAAATAAAGAAACTCAATAAAAACTAAATATAAACTCCCACATATGGAGATTAAATACTCCAATAAACTAGTGGTGAGCAAAACCGAGCTAAAACCAAAAACCGAGTCAAACAGTGCAAGTTTGGAGGCGTCCGATTCAAGTATTATGTAAAAAAATTTGGTGCTATAGTTTTTCATATATTCAATTTTCTAAATTGAGTAAAATGTACAAAAAAAACTGAGATGAAACCAAAAACATAGTCGAATCATGCTTTTCGGTGTGGTTCGGACCGTTCGTTAGTTATTTTAAACCCAAACCCAACAGTTCAAACCACTTTCCCTCCATCGTTTGAAGTTAAAAGGATAAGCGTCAACAGTTTTTTCTTTTTTTTTAATAGTATTAAGGAATCTGGCGAGGAATATAGCGTCACTTTTTTATAATTTTTTTTTTAAATAAAAAAATAAGCAATCCAGAAAATGGAAGGTGCAGGTTAACCATGTTCACAGAGAAGCAAATTTCGCAGCAGACTACCTAACGAGCATGGCGGGCTTATCCCCGTTTGGATTGCATCGAGTTTTATTCACCGTCTCCATGCGTCTGTGCATGCTTTACATGATAGCATTAGGGTGTATTAT